ATAAACTTTATTTATCAAACATTTATTTATTTTTAAAAATACTTCAGTAAACTATAACATAAATACTAAATTTGGGATATTTATCTATTAGCTACTACGCTTAACAGTAGAAACATATATATAGACTATTAGTTCAGAATGAGTTTCATTTGAACTTTCAATGTAATCAATAAGTCCAGAAAATAAATCACATTTGGAAAACCCACACAGCACTTGTAATATATGTGTTATTTCTAGGGAATTATTGAATTGAAATAACCTAGTTCACACGATCAAGTAGAAAATTAAATTTAATATATATATTTTTTTATAAATATTGAAATTTTACACATTAATAAATGACCAAAATGAAAAATTAAGAGGTTGATTTAAAAAATAATAATAAACCAAATCTATGGAACATTTCAGAAGGTTTTTTTTGTGGATATTATAGTAAATTCAATCGTTGAGATCGTAAGTGATCAGTGGAATTCAATCGATTCTGTTGTGCGATAGTAACTCACTTAAGACAATGGTGGATGTGTCACTCAGTTTCATGGATTGGTTGAAGTTAGATATTAACACTATTGAATGTCGGCTTAGTGGTCTAGTGATTAAGCGTTCACACGCGAGACCGATAGGTCCTAAGTTCGAATCGGGATCGTGCATTGCCGAGGAGTTCCACAATAGGACAAAACGGCTATCCAGTGCTTCTAGGTTTTCCATTGTGATCTAGTTTCAATTGACTCATGATCTCAACCATTGAAAAATATTGAACATTCATAAAAACCATCTTATATTCCGTAATTAGAACAAGTCTTTATTAACAAATTTAGTTTACTAAAAAGGAAATGTGACAATTGGCTGCTACAGATTACTATTATAAAAATGTAGGTAGAGTACATGAATAGTGTAAAAATAAAATCGTTAACCAGATAAATAGATTCTTTTAATGCAATATGTTTTATGGATTTCTATGAATAAAAGTTGGTCTTTCTTTTCTTTTAAGAAAAAATTAATCAAAGAAATTACAAAAACTAAATTAACCAATGTCTGTTAATTAGAGCAGCGAGAAAATGAATCTCAAAACATAATGATTACTTAGGCAAACAAATCTAATTAGCTCTAAATTATATAAACAACTCAAAGTATACTAAAAAGTATTCTAGTTTGACCTATTCTTGACAAAGGGGACTGAACTAAGCTTATCATGATATTGCTCTGAGGACAATACTACATTTGAAGCGCATCAGAAAGTTGATTTCACATCAGTCACTTTATTACATATCACGCATTAAAAACATTAATTCCACTCTTTGAGTTAATCTATACAATAGTTCATAAGAGTAAGATTAGCTATGACAGTATATTATCGATCTGACTAGAAAATTGACCATATTATTTTAAAGAACGTTCATTAAGATTGCACTGGATAGGTTTACTAATGAGACCCACAAACATACTGTTGGTATGGCTATATGTATATAAAAACGACTTTCAATTTCAAAAGTCTCCGTGTTTAAACGACAAAACACGAATCTCAGTAAGACATTAAATTTACATAAATGATTGCATGTGATGTCATCATTCGAACTGTTCTAGATGAATCATCGTCATCGCTTTATCAAGAAACACAGTTCATGTGATAACATTCCAAGATACGTTTCTGGATTGACTACAGTCATCCAAAAAGGTTCTATGGTGAAATTTTCCTTAATCAATTTCCTAAACAAATTTCTAAGCAACTATTCTATTCCTACGTGGAGAACGAAAAAACACCGTATAGCTTCATGAAAAATCACTTACTCTCCGCTACTTACCTAATGATTTAGAAAACTATCTTAGTGTCATTAATGAGATTTCGGTGAAATATTGAAAAGTCTATACTTATCGACTGAAAATAATCACGTCTATTTATCAAACTTCAGTTTGCTTTCACACATTCCGTTTATAATGGACTAAAATATGAGACATAAAACAGAGGACTTCTTTCTAGCAATACATTCTGTTTTCGTTACACACAAATATAGTAGCGAGTGATCACTTTAATCACATTCCACTGACACCGATTACATTATTCAACTTACTCAATTTGCGTTAGCTAATCTTCTCAGTTGAACTCATTTTTCAAAATTACTCCTACTCAATATATAATTTCAGTTTTTCTGTTATAAATGAAATCACTGAAATAGACTTTAATAGACATCATCTTATGACGAAAAGCTACTTGACTAAAAAATTTTATTCAATGACTTGTCGGTATATAAAGAGGAGTTAGATTACAGGATGGTAGAGTTCAATAAAGATCAAAATCTGTAAGATCATCAGTTGACTTGTAAAGAAAGCCTGAACTCAAGTCACTACATTACTAATTTACTTCACAATTAATGATACATAAATGAATAATTTCCAAGTTTAATTTATTCTACATGTCTTGATAAACTTTTACTTAGTGACAAAAACGGATTTTCGAAGGGATACTTTCATGAAGAATAGATCAATTTTGTATAAAAAGACAGTACCATGAATAAGTGTTACTAACACGATGTAAAAATCAACTAATTTTGCAGTTGAGAAATTTCTTCAGAATTTACGCATCACTTACGTAAAAACGAGTTTAAAGTTTTGATCAGCCAGGGCGAAACAACTTGATAGAACGACAGATAAAGTGAAAAACACTATTTAGTAAGTTTGGTGATAAATAAGAATTGCGAGTGGGAAAATCAGTGGTACTAATCGGTACATTTTTGAACGAATACTTGCAAGATATTTGATAATTGTAGTATGTAATAAAGAACAACAATTTTTCGGAATTAAAATTTGATAATATTTTATCTAAAATAAAATTGTAATTTGATTAGTTTCTTTTCTATTTCAATGGTCACAAGAAACTATGTCATACCATAAAAGGATGAAATCGCAATTATATATATATATATATATATATATACATATGGTTTTATTCGTTATAGAAAGTATGACGCGATTTACAATATTCCTTGGGATGAACTTTATCAGTTTTTTATTGCGAGTAAAACTTTTTTTTCTCTTCACAAATTGATCGATCAAATTCGCATAAATTGAAAACAACAATATGCAGTAATTTGTAATAATAGTGATGAAATTAGATAGATACTATTTTCGTTACGATGCAATTATGCACATTGTACGCTAGCCGAGAAAAAACAACAATGTAATCCAACTTGGTATTCCAGTGAATAGATGCGAAGAGTTTTTAGTTGGATTCTGAAGTATCTAGCATGGTAATATCATATGGATGGGAAACTGAAATATCTTCTATTGTTACATGCATAGATCCAACAATATTTGGTGACAAAAAGGACGATGAACATTATTTACTTTTGACAAAAGTGAAGCAAATCCACTTAGCATTATACAGCTAGGTCATTACTTCTATTTTCAGCATGTTCGTAAGATGCGCAAAAACACAATAATGTGCGATTTGATTTTCCGAAACATTATATCACATACAATATCCTACAAATGACCTAAGTAATGCTCATTTATATTTTTCCATATCACAGCTTGAAGGTAATAGTATATGGATATGTACTGTTGGGAAAAAAATATTCTTTTAAATACAAATATGCTTTTGCTCTAAAAGTCACCTAAATAAGAGTGTACCATGCAGTTAAGAAAAACGATGTCAAACATCTACTTTCTACTAACAGAACACACATGATAGTTGGATGTTATCATTCGCATGGGAATGACCATTATCTATTCAAGTCTTCATGCAAAGAAAAATCCAATTAGGATGAACCTATTTGCACCATGATCAATATTCGACTACAAATTATGATTGGATTTCCTACTAATTAACACTATGTAAGAGATAGTATAGGTTCATTATTTAACTAATTGATTGAACACATATACACTCATGAATATAAAAGCAAAATAATACAAATAAAATATACTAGAAAGTAATAATCTCTATTTAAAGGAATACAAGAAAATCATGGAAAAATAAAGATTCTTTTTTGCGTTTTGTTTAAATCTGAAATATTCTAACAACAAAAAAACCCATCATTGTGTAATTTGAGATGTGTATATGTGTGCAAGTACACAGTCTGTAAATGAATAAGTTATTTTCCTCTATTACATATATATATATATATATATATATATATATATATATATATATATAGTCTGTTATATTTATCATTCAACAATGAGAGTATAGATATTTAGAAATCCCGATAATATTAATAATCATTAATTTTAAGAGCAATAATAATCTAGTTAGTAATAATGTACACAAGCTAATAAAAGATGATACTTTTAAGTAATATTGACAGTAACCTTCCAAAAAGTCTTCTTTTATTTTACGTAATTCATAATAACAATAATAAAAAGGGAGACTGACTTTAATCATAGTAATCTTGAACACAGCAAAAACATGAGAAATTATATGGAGAAAAAAAACAAGTATGAAATTTCTATGCATCTCATGTAAAATCTTGATATTTTCCTCAAAAAAAGAAAAAAACAAAATAATTTTTCTCTCCTCCAATTATTTACTTTTGTTTGTTTCCTGCATATTATTATATGCACAAGTATGGATAAGGGGATAAACATACACAAGTACACCACAGATTAGAAAGCTTAACAGTAATAATCAATAACAGTAGTATTAATAAATAATAATAATTGTCATAGTCACAATCTGCATCTATGAATGATGAGAAATCTGTTTATATATATATATATATATATATATATATATATATATATATATATATGAGAGAGAGAAAGAGAAATATATTGTCTATGCATAGAAGTGCATGTACAGTCAATAGGCATTTATTTATTTATACATTCATAAAAGAGAAAAAGAAATAGTGAATAATTAAACTGAAAATTTCAATTGAAAGTGAACAATAATAATAGAAGTTAGTTTGGCGCTTATGGGCAAATAAAAAGCAAAGAAATCAAAGAGTAAACAAAACAATAATAACAACGAAAATTTTAATAAACAAAATTCAATACAGCCCAACATAATAATAATAATAATAATAATAATAATAATAATAATAATAATCACACCAAAAACAAAATATATCAAGGGGAAAACAAACCAAAAGCAAACTCTCTGAATAACATTGATAATAATATTGTCAAAAGCACTATTTTATTGAAATTTTATTTTATAAATAAATGAATTACATCAATTCATAGATAAATAATAATATAATGGGAGGTTGAGGAGAGGCTAGGCAAAGCAAGAAAATTTAACTAAAAATAAAAAATATTTTATTCATGATAATACAATATGAATATTATGCCTTTTTTCTTTATCATCAAATAGTACGCACTAGTGTGAATAGAACAAGAGCACAGACAAACTAATCATTTAAAGGAAACAAAAGATAAAGTATCGTATGTAATGTAACAGGTAGTAATAAATAAGAAAAGAAAACGAAAAACAAAACGGAATAATCTAACATCTGAAGTGTAAATAATCTGTGTACACTATAATCTTTGTTAATCTAGATTTACATTCAATAAGTATCTATGTAGAATATTCCAGTTAATTGTTTTGAACATTATTTATTTACTCTGATTTGATTTTTTTTTAATAAAAAAGAGGGGAACGGCAATAATCATCAAAAATAATGTAACAAAACAAAAAATAACTCCAAATGTGAAATGAAAATAATTTAAGAGGTGAAATAAGGCAACAATTGATGGATATACACACACACACGCAGAGACAGAGGAGGTGTAAGGAGATGAGGAAAATCCTCAATATTGAATAGTATCATCGCTAACTTGCAACGATAATAATAATGGTAGTAACGAGCTAGAGATTCATTCAGAACAGTGACATTTTCCTCTACCAAATAAAAATAAGTTGAACAGAAATAAACAAAACAGAAGTAGGATGATGATCAGTGGTTCTGCAGGAAAACACTTGACTGTGGAGTTCTTGGTAGATTATGTGGATAGCACTCATATGCAGAATTAGGCTGTAAAGTAAATGAAAAAAGGTTGGATTTGAGATGGAAAAGGTTTTTATATATCCTATACATATATGATACTGAAAATCATAGACAAGACAAAAGTATCGAATAAATGACTTTAAGATAATTAAATATAATTAGTAAAAATTAGATGCATCAGTAGTATCACCAAAAAGGCTTCGTGTGCCGAGTCGAATTGTGAAGTAAATCGAATAGCTGAATGATTTACACTAGAAATTCGACTGATATACTAATGAGATGGGTAATAAATGATTTAAAGAAAAGTGAATGCAAACTGAGTGAAATGGGAAATTTCTCATGGATGTGAAAATAAAATTGTTGATGAACATTAAGTTGAATCAAACCTAGACTTGCCAAATGATTTTGAAATTTCAGAAATTTCCAACAAATTAATAAGGAAATCATCGTCGAAATCGTTATGTAGATTTTTCGCAAATATCACTCAGAGAGTAAATGAAAATAGATTCAAAAGAATGTAGAAGGTTGGACAGGAAGTTTATCAGTCACAGGAGTTAAGGTTTGTGAATGTGGCCTGTCAGGGCTGAGAATGTTCAAAAACCTCCTGTGTTTCATCACTGTTGACTCTAAAGGATGCCTCAGATTTCGTGATATCACTTTATTATCAATCCTGAGGTCCACATATGTGTGTTTAGTAGTAGTGACTAAGTTAACTAGGATCACCATTTTGAACAACTGTGCTGTGACCATGCTTTAAGAATTTTATTCCAATGGCTTCCGTTTTATCTTGATAAAACAGCGGTATTGTTACTCCTTATACTTTGCCGACACAACTGGTTATCTGTTCCTATATACCTGGACTAGGTTTGACTAGGAGTTCTAGTAATCCCTTAATTAGGTAATTACAGATGCTACACCTCAAAATCAAAAGTAATCTCAACCCTGTTGTAATTTTTCATAACATTCTTCATAAAAGTAAAACGAATTTTCTTAGATTAAAGAAATCTTGGTTGTATATTTTGCTTAATTGGACTTAATTCTTTATTAGATACTGTTTTCTTATTATAGATTATACAACCTTTTCCTCCTATATTTCTTCTCAATACTTTTATTTCACTTTGTCTGAATCATTGTTTTTGACCCCTGTTATATCAGAATGTATAAGTTATAATCACCAAATAAATGAAATGTGCTAAATCCACGTATTTACAACTTTTTTATGATAGTTTTAATCTGTTTAAACCTTGTCCAGAAAATACAAAGATTATTATTCAAAATCATATAGCTTGTATTCGACAGTGACGCCGTCGTCACTGGAATTACAACCGATATTTGTGTAGTTTTGGAGCACACAATGAAAAATCCAGGAAGAATTCAAACAGACAGTATTCTCTTAGTGGACAAAAAAGTAAACCAGTGACTTGGAAATAAACTACAGTCAAAAGAGTGGAAATAAAACATTATGGTATTCAGCAGCACCATAAATAAGAACTTTAAAGGATTTCCAAAAACTGGCAAACGACAGCAAACTATTCCAGATTTTACTGAGCAGTGGAAATATCATCTAAATAAATAACCATATGAAGAATGCACGATAAATGAACGCAAGTTGTACATATTTTCATATCAAATTAACGTACTCTACTATCAAAGCTTCCATCTTGTGACGCTACTTCTTCCTCAATCTTCTCTGATGTTGGATGATCAGTAAAGCTTGATCGAGACGAGCATCCTGGACGTCGAGTATCTGATTTGTTACATAATGAACCACAATCATCTGTTCTTTCTTCTTCTTCACCATGTTCTCTTTTTATATTGACATTGTGTCTTGATTGGACTGGGTGTAATTTGGAACCGCTGAAATCAAGATCAGCTGGAGTTTCATTTTGCATCATTAACTCATGTAAATATCGACTATCACTTGCATTTGTATGTGCAGGATGCATTGAGTGTCGTGAAACAGATGTGGACAAATTCGGTGTATTTCCACTACTATTAGAACCACGTTGATTTGCTTCATTTAATAAAAGCCATGATTGATAAACAGCTTCAAGTGACTGTAAATTTCTCAATGAATTGGCAGATGAGGAGTGATGTAACTGTTCACTAGATTTTAGATCACCACTAGGTTCCGAGGTCATTTTCTCAAGGCTCTTTACATTCATTTAATTAAAACAAAAAGTACAGATAAATTAAAAACAATCTCACCCATTTTTTACTCAATCTATTTGTTTATTTATCTGGAAATTTAATCGTTAAAATAAACCTTCATTTGAGCAATAAATAAAAATACAATGAGCCTAAAATGATGACATAGTTTGAAATTCCGAAAACCGGGTTACTGAAAATCAATAAGTAACGTGCAGAATACATAGCTAGCAAGCATACAATTATCTGTACCTATATACATATATATATACGGATAGGAAGTGAATCTAAGCAATCATGAAATAACGGACAAACATTGGGTAAATGAAGTATCTGACTTGTAGATGCTAAGCTAGCATACATGAGTGTCATGATAACTAGGTTAACAGAAAAAGTATACACAAGTGAATTTTATATAAAAGGGAATGAGAAACAAACTTTAAATAGTAACAACGTGACCAAAAAATACAACACTGGCAAATTATTGGACCACAATGGGATAGAAAACTCAGACAATGTCCAAATTGAGGACATTCTATTCAATCAACAGTAATAATACCAGTAAATCAAAAGTATAAAAATGAACAGAAACGAAAATATATTGTGGGTAATATTCTCTGTTCATCTACGCAAACGCTCAGAAATCTAATTCGTATAATATTCTATAGCAAAGAACTATGAGAAACTGCAAAAGGAAAGGTTTTTTGTCAACTAGTTCCGAAGAGATATGAAGAAAAAAAATCAACGAAGTTTTTTGCCTAATTTCTGTGTAAATTTTATTGATACATAGTCAACGATGTCTTTAAACTGGACAACTTGTTTCTCTTTTTTAAAAAAAGATTACTAAATCTTATAGTTGACGCAACGTATCAGCAAAAACATATACGAAAGTGAAAATAAAATAATTTCCGTTATATGGTGTAAAACACGAGACATGAGTAGTAGAATTAGGAGGATAGAAAGTATCAAGGTTGTCTCATGCCACGAAGCATAAGTAAAGCAAACTTTGTTTTTTTTTTTTAGGGATCTACATAAGAAGCTATAGACTTCTTATAACTAGAACACAGATTTGAGTGCACAAATGATCTCCAATACAGCTGACCATATTGACTCACATTCATTAATCTCGCATGATTGGTTTTACAAATTTGATTCAATTCACCTGTATAGTTGATAATTTAGTTACTTGCAATCCTATCACATCTTTCTCGTGATATTTTTTTAAAAAGAGAAATAACTTGGATGAGATTTTAATACTACTGTATTTGATTTAATAACTCTATAGGTAGTCAGTCACAAAGCATATCATATTCACGAAAAACTAACAATGATAAAATGGATATGTTAATATATATATATATATATATATATATATATATATATTCGTATTCCTTTTATCATAAAATTTCATTTGACCTATTGGCTACTGTTATAGATTGTACCATTCTTAACTTATTCTCAACTTATTAGTTACAGTATACATATTCACAGCTACTTTTGGCTTGAACTTCTATGATAATTATCTTCTATTTTATGGTATGATGCAGTCTGGTCTGCTTTTATATGAACCACGTATGTCTGAAATATACCATTCATACAGAGGAGGCTGATATTTGTGCTCTGGACTGAACGGGTTGGGGTAGGCGAGAGGTTGTTACACAGAGGACCAATAAGGACTCAAAGATTACTCAAGGCTGCTCGTACTGGTTAACGAATTATTAGCTAAGTAGACAGAAAAGGTCATATAAGTCGGTGTTCTGAATGGCGATTTTGTCACGTGATAACCGACAGAGGCATAAGTTATAATAGGATACGGATATAATACAACATAATAAAATAATGTCTTATAGAAATACAAATCCCTTGAACGAAACTAAACTAAATAGATGATGAACGATTCTATTCGGAAGGAAAAAGTGACAAAATCTTACCTCAATACGTTGTAAAAGGAGGGGGATTAGTTGGCGTGCTATCGTATTTTCTTGTTTAAGACTTTCCATTCTTGAAACAGCTTCACGTAACTCCATAATGTAACTAACTGAAAGTCGGAGCACACTACCTTTATTTCGTCGACCATCTCTATAGGAAATGGATAGTTTTTGAAAACATAGTACATTATTCAAAAAATGTTTTAAGACCAATATTGAAAAGCGACTTGTCAAACAAGAGAAAAACAAGGTAGTTCTTATCATAAACTCAAAACTAACTGGAGAAAAAATGGAAAAAGAGTACTTGTTAGTTGTTTCAGCTTAAATATCCATTCGACTAAAAAATTTACAGAGTAGCAATTTAACCCTAATAGACAGATATCCGGAAATCTGGTCGGTTTTAGTCGGCTGATGATTCCCGTTATGAACTGAGATTAGATGAAATTTCGATTGGAAACAGAAAGGGTAAAACATCAATCGTATCTAATTTCAAAATATTCCCATATAATACGAAATCCTATTGGAACAGATTTAATGAAACAAAAGTTACACTACAAACAGTGTATCAGATTCTAATAATTAATATTTTTAATATGGAAACCAATTGAATGTAGGCAGATTGCATTGCAGTACGATATGTAAGAAAACTGCCTTTACCATCAAGCAAGTTTTAAATTTTCACCTTATGAAGTGTCAATTAGCAATAGGTTGTTATTAAATTTAAGGATACTATTGACGATAACCCAGTCGTTCAAAAAAAGAGTACTCAATCCGTTCACGAAGAGGATTCCGTCATCACTAGACATGATAACGAAGTACAAAGTCGCTAGGTTTTCAGTCACTTATCGAATTTTGTTTGTATGATGACGAAATTATCCTATTTTTTGGATTTCATAATCGACTGATTATCTACTGAAAGAATTATTCTTATATACACCACGGAGAACCACGTTACGCGAAACTTGGAAATAAAGAATGTTGTCACTTGTATTAGGTTAGAATCCATTATCACACTAGAGATAAGACTTTTAGAAATATAAGTAGACTGAAGAATGAAAGTTGAAAATTCATAAGAACAACTGCATTCTAAAATATCAAAGCCTAAAATAACAAATAACTGACTTACACATCCCGATACAGTTCCGGTGGGAGTAAGCTACTGAGATAGACGATTTGTGAGTTAATATAATCTCTTCGCTTCCGTTCAACTAGGCATTGAAAAATGATGAAAAAAGATATGATAACTTAGATTTCTAAAGAATAGATGGATTAACTTCAAAAAACAGCAGATTCAATAGGTAAAGTTATTATTTAACGAAATGAATTTATCCAGTCAATAAGAAAACTGGAAAAATGGATCCACATACACTTATGATCAAACGAACTTTGATAATTCACAAACAAAACACTTAAAATAGGTTAACGAATACTGTTTTACGGATCATAACATCAATTGATTTATAAGCTAGGTTGTAAGTAAGAACTGCTTGTTCAAAGACCTTAAAGCGAGCTCTTCAATAAGATCAAAGCATACCAACACGCAAATACCAATGTACTCTTGAAATTACTGAATGAAGGATCGCAAAAATGTAACATACTGTTATAAAATATGGAAATAATCAACTTTATTTTTAACTCAACAGAATTATTAAAAGTCAGATAATCGAGTGAATGCACATGTTTACTCAGTCATAATTCATATAGGATACTGCAGGTCATCGTAATTCGCCACAATGACCATCAATACAATCAGAAGAAATGACCAAGAGAAGATACAAAATAATGTCATTAAAAGTGAATACTAAGCACACAAAATGTAGCTTGGAAAGAACAAATGAAACGGGGGGATAAATCGTAAAGCTTCAGAAATATAGTGGCTATGGCACCACAGATTATGATCATCTTGTAGACATAAAATAAGGACCCCAAACATGACGAAACGATTGATTACAGTAAATAATTGATTGATGGACTGATGCTATATATTAATAAGAATTTACATTTCTAAGTGATGGGTTGAAATTTAAACTTGACAGAAGTACTAAACAACCAAACAAACCAAATCATTTTTAGGAGTTTTAACTGGGTTTGTTGGTATTAAGCATACATAACTCAATACAAATATGGATAGATTTTTAACAACTCATGTATACTAATGTTTTACAACAAATTAATTTTTATTTCAGTCATTTAACATTATTTCGTCAACATGTGGTGTATTGATATGAAAAAATGGGGTCTATTTATTGATATGTTGATGAAAACAATTATGAGTACCAGTGGAATCGATTTACTGCACTATATTTTGCATGTTGTAAAAATAACATGCCAACGTTCACGCGCAATCTTGTAAACAGAATAACAGAAAAAATAACAAGCCAATGAGCCATAGAGATCATCCTAGTATGTGCACAAATATTATGAAAATAATCACTGATTGGAGATCTGGAATTTCACGTTTACAAAAATTCTTATTTTGCATTTTATGACGGATAATGAAAACGTAAATAACAAATACAACCAACCTTTTAAAAATATTAGCTTCTTGCCAATTTCACAGAAAAAAAAAGATTAAATTATATTCTAATAGCTTGCTTAAAGTCGGTTGATGAGGAGTCTGATGGAAAGTTAAAATTCATAAAAATTAGGTTTAATCTAAGAATTGCTTGACAGCAAAACATGGTTGTCATCTAAATAAACAAGTTGATCAAATTATATATAAAATCACATACGGTATTTTTCTCTGTAGAATAACCATGTATATTTATTTTGAAGGTAAATTAATTATATAATACAAAATTACTAGCATCAATATTAGTAACAGTACACTGGTATATAATTAAAGAGGAAATTTACGTAAAGCTGGCTTTGAAATATATATATATATATATATATATATATATATATATATATACTAATCTCCAAAAGAACCTTTTACAGACGAAAACAATCTAAGCTAGGAATTTTTGTTTTAGCGGGCCGTAAAACCAAACTGATCCACCTCATTACTAAGGAAATCAGAACGGGAAAAAAAACGAAAAAATCAGCAACTTCAAAACAATAGTAAACTGACTTCTGTTATGACTCTCCTTTTTTGAACGTTGTTTTTGACTGACAGCTTTAGCAGGATCTTGAACTGGGTGATTAGACAATACTGGAGGTGTACTAAATAGATTCGAACTTGAAGAGCTATTTGGAGAACAAAAGGCTTGATGGGGTGCTGAACTAGAAGTGGTAGTGGATGAAAGTGAAGGTGCATAGATTGGTACTGGAGCAGTAGTTGGGGAATGAGAATTGGGTAAAAGCATTCCTAAACGTATATTCTGTACATCGGAAGGACAGCATCCAGATTGAGTGGCAGGACTTAATACGATAGAACGAGATTTATTTGATGCAGAGGAGCTGGAATAATTGGTAGAATATGCATAGTGTGAATTAGTTTTCTGATGACAATCCATTAAATCAGTAGTTGTAGGCATTGAACTAGCAGGAGAAGAGCTAACCATACCGCTATAAGTAGCAGTTGAACCTGGGATCAATGGAATTAAATGTGCGGGTTGTCCGTGAAAGGAAGAAGCTTGTGGTTGGTTGTGAACTGATGTGTTTCCAAAGGGCTGCCATGCGAAAACTGAATGTGGAGCCATATTAGGTGTTCCTTTACTGATTGGAGCACTTGAACTGCCTTCTAAAGATGGCAGACGTTGTCCATAGTCAAACTAGAAAATCGAGAGAAAAATGAGATGATAAATACTAGGAAATGCAAAAAAGTAAACTAACAGCAGAAGGGCGACACTCAAGTGAAGTTAGAAAAGTAAATAGACTACCCTAAACAAACATTCTATAGACGAACACAATGCAAAAACCGGTACAACAATACAGTGTTTGAGAGTTACAAAAAAGACTGAATTACCTTTAATACATAGTATCTAGTATTTTCGCTATGACTTACTAGAGTCAAGAAACATTCGTAAACCCAAGGACGGGATACATTATAGAAATAAAAAGGATAGCAAAATCGAACTACAACAGCTAAATATCGAACACTTGATATAAATCCTCAACGGTAATCTATATCTAGAGTAATTCGTTCCACATTCAAAGACTAAGTAGTTCGAACTGAGTGAAAACAGGTAATTTGGAAAAATCTGACAGTATATATAACACATTATAAAAAATATATTGTTGAGAAGTCACTATTTTACAGAAGACTAGATGGTATTTCTCTTATCCGGGTAGTGGATAATGAAAAATATCAATATGAATGAGGAACTCGAAACATGAGATGGCGTTATCATTAATTCAAGACTAACAAAAGATCTACTTGCCTTCTAATAACCGAACAGTGAAGTAGAATTGATATTTAAAGCATGAAAATACAATCTTGCTCTCTAAAGGTAAAATGGATGTATGAAATAATTACTTAATAATTGAAAGAAAAATATCAATGAACTACAGAACCAGAGAAATGATAGATATAAACTACCTCATTTACCGGGTACTTGGGCATGAGCAACATTTTAAGTGTGAGGGTTGATGATATCGCTCGGTTGCCGAAACAAAAGTAAGCTGAAGGAAGTGTGAACCTATAAATTGATGGCTGGAAGTTGAACACCTTAACCATCAGGGAACATATAGAATTAAACACAACCTTATGTGAAGTAAGGAAATCGTAAGGTTACTTATTACGAATTGATCGGATGGTGGATGATTTTAATAATGTTAAGTCCCCTCAACTGGGTGCTTCTCTTGGGAAGTTTCCTCTGTTATCTCGGTGACATTACCACATATATGCACTATACCACTGATTTTTACGAATTTGATATCTCAAAAGTCAAAACGTTCTACGGAAGCTGATAAGGCGCTTACTAAGTAAAAAATACATAGCAAGTGAATTGAGATAAACACATTATTAGTAGATAAACAAGATGTTGAATGTACTTTTACCGTCCCTTAAGTCAAACGTTACTGGTTCTAAACTGCGAAACCGTAAATTCAAACTGTGACAGACTTGTTGAAGATTTATAGTGTCAAGAAAAGTGGGTCCAATGTTTGGGTGGTTAGCTTTCCCCCATTATTTTCCAGGCCCAAATCCGTTCTACCTACTTTGATTTAGGTAACCAGTAGCACCACTACTCCTCACAGTTAGAGTGTAACTTAGAGCTAAGCCTGATAAGTTAATAGAAAAAAGCTAAGTATCATAGAAGTGTAGCTGATAACTAGGTCCAATACATTGTGAAACGATAGATATAAATACACAATATTTACATTACTTAGAAATAATCATATTATAATTAAGATGTTTCCATTGCATGAATATATGAAAAATTCGACAGTATTAATGAGAATAAATAATATAAATCATTTCAATAATTCGAATTCATAAAGAAACTTCCATAATTCAGTAGAAACCACGAAGTCAAATTTATCTAACAAGAAAACTACTGATACAACAATCAAAGTTAGTTTTAAATGCATACTGATCGTACGTTGATAAGCATAAGCTTAAGGGATGTTTAGTTGTCAGGTAGATCACAGATAACACAAAATGATAACTGATATTTTAGAGGTTTTGAATCAAATCAATATGGGAGCTAAGTGTTTTTAAAAAAAATATAACTATCATTATTGAGTTAACGTTTGACGAGATATTCTACAATCTGGCTTCTTAATATAAATTAGTGAAGTAGAGCAAAGAATATCATGCATAGTTTCAAATTTAAAATGGACTATTACAAAAGATTCTAATGAAAAGTAATATTAAGTCTTTGAATGACTTCAAAACCTACATTTTATGAGCAAATTTAAATACATGCTCATAATTAACAATAAACGATGTAAGATGACTATGAAATCACATCAAAAACCATGAAAAAAAACAAAAGAAAAGAAAACGAAATGAAGAAATAACAATTTGAAAAGAAAATTACATGCTGGTAATTAAAATTAGATTAAACTAATTCGATGGGTTTTTCTTTTCTTAAAGTACACTAATTAAGTGCATACGCGTAGTGTGTGTTTGCATTTAATTTTGTGTGCACATACGCGCATAAATTGGCTTGTATATATGCATATATGTGCAAAAGACTATTGATTAATTTGAACAGTAGTAAGTTGTAATAATAATAATAATAATAATAATAATAATAATAATAATAATAATAATAATAATAGTGCAAATATATTTACTACTGACAATAAAAAGGATTTTTCTCATTCAAAAAGACTATAACATATACTTTGAAAAAACACAATTTATATTTTTTTTCTACAACGATAGAAAAGATAATTATCATAATTAGTAAATTAGTACTTGTATAAATATAATTCAAAAATTGGCAGTTATCATCTCCTCCATCAATTTATGAATCATATGAGCTATGTTTTAAAACTAAATATCACCAGAGAAATAAAAAAAGAGAAAAAGCATAGAGTATATTATGAAAGACAGAAAAAAGAGAAGAGTAAGAAAAGATAAAGTAGAAGAAAATCAGGAAGAAAAGAGGAAGTAGTAATGGTAAATTATTTCAGTATGATGATGAACAGATATTGAGTGAGAAAAAAGTTGATGAATCCAGTTTTTTTTATGTTGGATCATAAGTGATAAAATTAAAATTATATAATTATAAGGAAGAAAAATTAAATCTTGGAATTAATCATGGTATATGCAGATAGATTTACACAGGTTTTATTAATTTTAATTAGTGCCCCCAAATGCCCTGGTATGGCCGAGAGTGGGGTAAGGCCGCCCTCCCTCTCGAAATGCTCTCACACGGCCACGCGTATACAGCCTCTGCCAGGGAAGTCCTACTCACTGCCTTCTCGTGGCGGGGGTGTTGTTTACGAAATTGAGAGGACAAAAAGTGAATGTCCAGCGCTTTAACCGGAATCCAAAACAATGGCTCAAGGATCCTGAGGGATTAAATGGCGTATGAACCAATTGTTGGTCACCGGCTACCATGAGACTGCATCTCCTCACGATGCTCCATTGCCTTGTGGGTCAGACCAAGGCTCGGGGTGTGGCCTCCTAAGAAAACCACCTGCTTCGGTCTGGGCACCCGGGCAGTATCATAGCCCACACATATATCGAATGAGATTTATGTGGCGCATATCTATTTGGTGCCTCCTTGTACCAATGTTTATGTGATTAAATAAATAAATAAATAAATTTTAATTAGTACTACATAAATTTACGCGTATAATTGAAACCGGTAATTAGAGTTTATGAAAAATTATCGTAATGTATTAGTTATTCGAATTCTAAGATTTTAAAGAAATCCGACACTCTGTAGACTGAGATGTATAACACATGCTCCAGACACTACAGTAGATTTAGAGTGGACATCACTGTTGTCTTTATTATAAATATCATTAACTTAAGCATATTACAACTTCTACAAAAGCTATACGGACTAAAAAACGGCTCAATTTTTTTAAATTAAATTATTTGTAGGACAGATCTAATTTTATATACTAACCGTACAGGAAGTATATAGGTTAGGTCCATTTTCATAGCTTTTCGACGGTTTCTCTTAACTAAATACTATGAACAAACACAGTAGAAGCACCCCACGAATAATGATTTGAGTAAAAAGTATGCAGAGTCGGATAATGGTGGAACTAACAATAATTAACAAACATTTTAACATATCAGATTGATTTCTATGATGAGACCGAACTTGAACGAAACTAATAATAAAAGCATTGAAATTATTTCCGATTGATAAATTGGAACTTTAAGTCAAGCAGTTACGTGTATAAATTCAAACCAATTGTTAGGAGAACTAAAACAGTTGATTAACACAATTTTTTATCTCATACGGGTTTATGCAGAACGGATAAGCTATTCCATATGAAATACAAATTGCTCTTATGAATATACTTTCCAAGATTCTGCAATCGACAGGTACTTGATTTTGTAATGCTCATTTTTTCCAAAAGAGTTAAAGAGAACGAAAGGACAGGCTAAAAACTGGATCTTCACTACATAAGGATATCAGTCTTTCAGAGGTTAATCCATACCTTGAAGTAGGCATTAACAAAGATTTGATCAGAACACGAATTTTATTTTATTTCATTTAGTTTCCATCAGCTGCTTACAACCTAGAATATTTTAGAATTAAAATTATCGTAAAAGATAGTGTATTTATACTATTGAAATGGATTATATGTCACTATGTATCATCGTGATGGAGTGACGACTAGAAAAAAAGTAATCAGATTGATAAAACATAGAAAATCTTGCAAATAAGTACAAGTTGAAAGGGAATTGTAGAACATTAGAATAGCAATTTAAGTTTATAGAGCTGAAATATCATTTGATTAAACCATGAAGTAGATTAACACAAGTTAATTGCTAATATATATATTCTCATTTAACTAATTTCACTGGTATATGTATCTTAACTTTTGCGATAATTTTTATTCTACAATACTACAGGTTGTGAGTCGAAACGAGAACGTAACAAAACAAAATAAATTCGCGTTATTCTGCTCCAAAATATTTTCTATAAGCGACTAACAGGTTGATTGAGTGTACCGAGAACAATGTATACCGAACTTTCTTATGTACACAGTTTCGTAGCACGGAATAAAATGATTCAACTTTCACATTCATTTGAATATAAAATACCAACCTAAATAAGAACAGAATGAGATATACATACTGGTCAGGACGTGAGATTGTATAGTTCTATGAAGACTTTTAGTTTAATGTGACAAGTCAATTAACATTTGTAATCAATATACAACCTTACAAAACGTGCGTTAGCCAAAGTTTCCAAACCGCATAGTTTAGACTAACTAGTCAATGAATTTACGAACAGATACCATGTTTTGATTTGGACATTCATAGCTTTTTTATAACCCTATTCTTACAGCAATCAAAACAGATTGTGATAAAAAATAACATGGAAAATTAAGTACCAAAGTTTTTATGTGATACATCTTAAGATGGATATAAGTAAATACTGATTTATCGAACAGACTCATAGTGACAATGGAAACTTGTATGCTGCTAAAAAAATTAATTTAATACAAATCAGTAATCAATCGTATATATATATATATACGCAACGTCAAAGCTTACTGTTTAACGTTGGTTAAATACATACAACTTAATTATTATTACACTCATCATCAAACACGCATAAGCATCTAAAAATATTTGTTAAAATATAAAAATCAAATTAGCAGTACATGTCATTAAAGTTTTCACACAATTTGAGAGAATTACAATAGTCAAATTAAATCAATATGAAATATTGACTTGATTAAATTGATAGAAAAAATTTCTGTTTTATTTAGTAGTAATTCGCTCTAGTACTTCATCTCATACTGCGCATATGTGCATGCGTGAATTAGTCTAATCACTGTAGAGTGAAATAATGATGGACATTATTTATTATTATTATTAATAAATGATAACTAATGGAAGATTTTGGTTCTTTTTTACGTAGCTCCATAAATTATAACAAGGTATTAGATGGTTCTTGAGTGCCCAGGGCAGAGAGCAAGATAGATATAATAAAAATTTCTCGATTTTTAGTGTAAAGATAGGAACAACAACGTTGTAGCTTTTCATCTTTTACTGAGTTCTCCTTCTTCCGGTGTTATAAACCGTAGGTCCCTATTTTAATACCTTTGTGTAACAATATAAGTGAGATATATGTCAATTAGTTTTATTTAATTCTAATGACAGATTCAGTGTAAAATACGCCATAATCTATCGCAAATCTACAAATCTACACAAAGCTGAAAATAATTATACAATGCTAAACACTGGTGGCCTTTGATTTCTGTATAGCAAACCTGTTTCCTGAACCTAATTCATCTGAGATAAACACTAGAACTAACCAACACGTAAGTTGAATCCAAGACTTTTCAAGAAGAGAGGAACTTTCCATTTTAATAAAGTCAGTTACCTGTATTCATCATTATATAGTTAGCGACGATAAAGATCTTATTTCTACATACATCGGAAGTTAATATTGATCAAGAAAATGATTGTCTGTATAAGAGAAAACGACGCTAAGGATACTCTTAAGATTCATTTCTGAACAGCCAACCCTACCTACTTGAACGTTGAAGTCAGTTGTCAATATGATTATATCCTTATATTTGACTTACAAAATAACTAGAGGTTAAAAATTACCATTAGTCTCATTTGAAACTCGGTCAGCAGGTGTCATGACAGCAACTTTCCGAATAGGTCCGGAAATTTAAAGCTCATTACTGACGAACTTCGGAAACCTCTTGAATTTTAATTGAACTCGATTCACATATTTTAACATGGGAAAAGGGTAAGGCGAAAAAGTAATCAAACGTTTAAACGAGAAGTACTTGTTCAGTACGTCATTAGTTTTTTTCTCAAGTGGAATGACGTATCCTTACGTTTAGTTGTTTGACGTATTAGATGGATTTTGTCCCACAAAATAAAAACTTACAAGAATTCAACTTATATAGTAATACTATTTTTTTAAAATCCGAACCATTGTAATGGATTAAGCTTGAAACATTCAACCTGTTTAACTAGTTGCTGACTGTTCTACAAGCAGTTGAGGTGATGTCACATTATTCATACGGCAAATATTTACTAAACTAACAATTGCGCATGCTGTAAATTCTCTAGTCAAAATGACAAACATACATTTGAAGTTGGTGGCTATAAAACGTGTTACTGACTAATTACAGTTTAGTGGCCCAGTATCTGACTCCAATTAAATCGTATGATGACTGCTATCGAAATATACATACCACAAATTCTAATATATAATTATCAACTTTAATCGCGTTAGTGAATAACAGAACTGAATAAGCCAAAAACGAGAATGGAATTTGAATGCGTACATTTCATACAATCGTTGAACCACATAGACGATCAGAAAAGCGAAGCGAAGAAAGGAGAGCGAAGCGAAACGATGCACAGTGGAGAAAGCGAGTGTGCCAACTCCATTTGACCAAGCGTAACTCAATATTTACAGTCAGATAAAAAATAAGTTACAGATACGTGATGAATAGGGTAAGCAATTAACACATACACGACCATATAAAAACAGTCAAGGTTAATAAGTGAATAATCAGTAAGATCAAAATATTGAATGAGAAGAAGGAATAAATTGGTATGGTCGGAAGCTAGAATAACCTACGTGGGTTTAACATAGAACCAGTCACCACAATAGTCCAGATAACTAAACTGAACGCATCATAGTGAAAGTATACAGCAAGGTAAGGGTAGGCTGGTGTACACAGCTATGAGCCACGATTTGTATGTATTCAAGACCCCACTAAGAATTGGACCTATGGACCTTCGGACCTCAAGATGAATGCATTAACTTTTTAACTCTAAGTTGCCAACCAACGATTTAGATTGGTAACTTCAGTCAATCGGGGATATTACGTGATGGCCATCAATTATCATTAATGATGCTTACAAGGTTGAACTCCAGCAGTCACCTCCTTTAACTAAAATTAGGGGAAATATCCTCGTAGTCCGTTGTGACATGATTATTGTTAGGAAGAGGGTGCGTTCTAGGTCTGTAAAAGACCTTTATGAACAGTGATCTCTCCACCCATCACAGGGCTGTTATGATGACATATAGCTATAAAAAACACTATCTCAAAGCTGGAAAATTTGAATGCTAAATGGTGTTCTGATCTAATAACAAAATATTTGTGAATAAGTCGAATTTATTTATCAATGAAACAGAAACGTACTTCTCAAAACGTAGAGGTATAACGTACTTGTTCTAGTACCCAAACAACTGCTTCCCAAACTTTTACACAGATACTTTGGTCCTTTAACTTCATTCTACAGCCTCCATAATTAAAATATTTATAAAATGCATGACTTGGAGTTTAGTTGGATTAACTGAAGTCAGTGTGTATAGTGCAACAGTTCTGTTAGTTTGTCTACATTATCTTAAACATTTATAAACATGAAATTAGAACTATGCTTGAAATCAAACAGTTAAGGTCAAAAAATTTGGGCAGCGGTTGGTTGGTCCTATAAACCAATTACTTATTGGACAGTCAAAAATGTAAGCAACATGATAATAGTAATTCATTTATCAGTTGCTCCTATGAGCGACGATATCAAAATGCAAACAACTGTTTTCTGCTTTATCATCAAGAAAAGGTTCAAGTTATTACCTTATATCCGAGATCTATCAACTTCATTGAATTATGAATTCAATATAAAGGTAATTATTATTAGTCATTAAGTTTGCTTGTTTATAAGAAATAAAGATGGATATGTGAAAATACACTTGAAAAAAAGGTAAGAACAAAAAAGCACTTTTACTAGTTTTATGACATTTCATTGATTTTTTTTCTTTCTTTATATCTGAACTTTAAGTGATCTGAATATAGACAAAATGTGCACTGTGTACAACAATTAATGCAGATTGTTTTAATAAAGAAGAAAGCAAAGAAAAATAGATGAATTTGTACGCTAACAACATAATAACAATGGTAATGATTGTTATCATAATATAAGAAAGTGAATAGATGAACACAACAAAAAGAAAATACACAGACACATTCGTTAACAAATGTCCACAAATAAATGGAAGAATTAACAAAGTTAGAAAAGAGAATAAAAGGTACTTGTTTATTTCTGCGACGACCATCAATACAACTGTTGTTCGCGTTAATGATACTAATATGTGGACAACTACGAAACTAACATGCGATAATTATTGAAGTGATAGTAATAATAACTCTTATTAATAATAATAACAATTATTATTATTATTAATGATTATTATTATTATCATAAACTAGGGAGTACTTTAATAAAAATTTTCAAAACCTTGTACTCTTAAGCATATTTAGTTGTAGAAAGAAAACTTTTATGCAACAATAAATCTTCATTGTGTTACGATGACGATATCATTTTTAGTTCAATTAAATGATAAAATATATTTACTCTCTAAACATAATTTGGATTGTTTATACTATAAAAACGAGATAGACAAAAATTGCAAACGAATGATTTTTTTAAATAAAAATTGATGATCAACTACAAAAGACAAGACTGTGTCAGGGATAAAGTACAAAATTGGTACTTACGAATCGACTAAGACAGAGCTTAACCTTGAGTAATAGTGCGTTTGATTAAGTTGAAATACACCGAGACAGAAGCTACATAACAAAAATAATTTTGAGTTTACATAAAAAGATGGGTGAAGAATAATATTTCTGGATATCCGTTATGAGCTACAACAACCAGTTATTTTTAGTATCTTATTTAAAGCAGGTAATGGGCCTAATATTTCTCATATAACTCACGTTAACAGCAAGCTTTTACGAGGATTGATAGCGTATTATAGTACAGTAAATAAAAATCCTTTTCCAAACTACATGAATAAAAGTAGCAAACAAATTTGTTCAGACTCAAATTAACGGTTTACGTGATGATCTTGATAAAACTGCATCTGAGTGTTTATATAATTTCACAGAAAGCCTAAGTATAAATACAATGGTCAATCTTGCTTAACCCAAACAAAATTTATCATGACAAAAATGTTAAAGGGAATTTTAGACAAGTTTATTTGCATTTTTTTAATAAAAATATTGACCGGTTCTCTCAGTGAAAAGGAAGAAGATAGAAAAACCTGTTGGTCCAATTTTAGTAGTTACCATCCATGGCATTTAAATACATTCATCGATCACCCCAAGGTCAAACATGTGCACTTTATGTATTATTTGGATGTCCTATATAGTGACCAAACATTTAGCATAAATCAAACTACATATATGTAGAAATATTGGTGTAGATATATACACCAACAAAGATACACACAAAGCCGGTTGTTTAATTTCTGACAAAAGTTGGACCAATTGTGGGACAATAACCTGGATTAAGTACATATCGCTTTAGCTTGGCAAGGTCATACGTGCATTTGCACAATATATACACAAATGCTAATCCAATTTCAACTATTATAAATAAGACAAAACTACACAGGTTGTACAACTATGAATACAGGGGTCCTGAAGGTAAACACTGATAACAGTAGGAAAGATTGTGTAAACCACAAAAAAAAGGGATTTTCCCTGTCCAGTAATTGCACATTGAGAAAACCTAGTAGTTTACACGAGATCATGAGTTATTTGAATGAATGAGACATACACAGGAAAAAGTGACTTTAAATCCAACATAAAAAACGGTAGCACCAAAACTGCAAATTATTTTACGTCCTATGATCTAATGTCTACTTTGAAAACGACTAGATCACGAGATCTTATAATCTTGGAGTCTAAAAAACTCTGGTAATCCGACTACAAAATCATAACAGCTGGCCTACCTACTGCTTCTTCAAGGAACAAAAAATTAACTGCCCATAACTGGAATCCAGATCATCTGGAAAACAAAAACCCCAAGTCGGTAATTCCTAATGACTTCTATGAGGCCACTACCGTACAGTTCTCATTATGGGGTCTGAAGAGTTCACATGTGGATGCTTTCCAAAAAATGATGCTCTAGTTATCTAATTATTTAGCCCACATCCTGAATATCCAGTAACTTGAGAACTTACTAATGTCACAGAAAAGCGATATACAATATCCATTGAAGTTATATCGATAGAATTTTAATCAAATGTGCTAAAATTTTGTGTATCAACTATGAGATGAGAATTTCAAAACCTACACACCTACTTTTATTTTGTCTTTTGATGATCACAGAATCTTACGTCATAAAACAGGCATCTGAAAAACGATACAGTTGCTACGAAAACGCACACTTTAACGAACAAAACCAGTATTATATAAAACTTAATTTTTTAATAGTCATCAAACTTCTAAAACATAGAGTATGTGAAAATATCCCATACAAAATCTGGTAGATCTTCTTATATATCATAATGAAAAAAACAGAATATAAAGGTTAAAAATCATTCGGCCCTACTTAATTCAAATACAAAGGACTAACTACGGGGTTTGATGTGAAGTCCCGCTGCATCTACACCGACCTTGAGGGCCTGGTAGTATGACTGTCACTAAAGCATAAGCTTGAACTCAAAAGAGATAGACTAGAAATTAATTTAAAAACGAATTTGGTATGAAGGAACTCTAACATGCAACAGCATGGATAAACATCGAGTATCTCATCCACTAAACCGCCATCGTGTCCCAGCAATCTGTCAGTCAGTAACAACGTAGAACTTCGTACGTACGTACATCAGTTCGAGTTGCCACACCACAGCAATTTAGTTCTGAATATCAGCAATTGGAAAATACCGAGTTACAGTAGCAATAAGTTTTAAGCTTCTTGAACAGATTGCTGGCTGCAGTGACCTAGTAATATGGTTAATAGCAATTTGGGATTTGGAACGATACGTCAAGGTTCCAGGTATTAGTGATGACATAAGAACTGCGGTGCACATATACTCAGATAATTAGTTCTAAATTAGACTAAATCTAAGCCAATACTCAAGATATAACTGTGATTGAGATTAGTCAAATATTTAAAAGGACTTGAAAACACTACGTTTTTCTCGGAAAAAAATTACACTGTCACGGAATACAGAAATCTTGTACATCTAACAGCTAGCAAATAAACTCCGTCTTTCGTAATTTTCTGTTAAAAATAGCTATACTTCGGGCGCTTAATATTAAACACCAGGATATGTTGTATCAAGTGACAACCTAGTCACACCAAATTTTAAGTTAAGTTGACAAAAAAAATGACATTTTTTCCTATTCAGTGAATAATTACCCTGCAATAATTTGGTTTATAAGTTAGTCGCAATCTAATTAACTTTATAACAACTACTCAAACTGTAGGTAACTGGTCCCGAATAAGTGACTACTACTTTTGATCATTATCGTATAAACGATGTTATGACGGAAACTGAACCGTAAACAAGGTCTTCAAGTGAAACAATAATTATTTAATAAATAAATATTACTTTTAAGTGCAGTATTCTAGATGTTGTATGATAATGATATCGTACCAAAAATTACTATTAGAATAACTAAACTGACTGAACTGAGCCTAACAGTCGATTAGAAACACACATGTAGTAAACCGCATAGGAAAAGAATTTGGAATGTTTATGAAGAATAAAGCTGGTGAATGACAAACGGACAATAATGTGGTGATGGAAACTAATTGTAGCTGCTATTATGTAGTGACCAGGGAGAAAGAAAATCAACTGGAGACATTTAAGGACTGAAGTTAGTCCTAAACTAACAGTATTTTGGTAGAACTAACAATCGTAGCAACATGATCTCTTTCATAAAATAAAAAATAGCAACCCGTATAAGTTAACTAGAACAAGTTCAACAAGTAAAATTGTAAAACCTGGTGTTTTAGATGGATAATGGAAATGACAGATTTTAGATCGGGGAAGTTACATGCCCATTTTGCGAGTTGCTCGAAATACGGTAAATGGGGGGAATTCTGTAAAACATACAACTTTCACCACTCTGAAGATGTGTAAAAGATAGAAAATAAAACCAACCGCTGGTATTTTTAGTTTTCACCACTTTCTAAAACGGAGAGGCATCTTGATTAGTAACTAGAACCTCCAACTTCGATGCACATCATTAATTAACTATTTTATCCCTTGAGGGAAACATGAAGATGTCAGTAAAGCTAACAGTTATACTATAAGACACAGGTATAAGCATTACATTTCTTTAATAAATAACCTCGGGACGTTTATATGAGAACTTATGTGCGCGACATCACAAATCTAAAATAGCGCATGGTGGATGTGATAGATTATGTGTAAACCATATAACATACAAGTATTTCAGTAACTAAAACTCCAGTGCGATATCTGTATATAAGTTATTGAAGTGGTTCACTCTATTGAACTTATACAACTACAGACATTTACTATTGACCTAGTATATTTTTGTATTTAAAAATGAACTGCATGAGAAAGACTTGATAAATATTAAAACGGAGAAGCACTTAACTGTTTCTCCAAGAAATAATGACAGACTAAACACTTTTAGGGGCGATAGTATTAAGCAAACAACTAGGCTTCAAGAAATTTGGAGATGAGACGAATAATTGAGCTTCTTCACTCTACTGATGTCTAACTAAAATATTTAAAGCATAATATATTGACTAGAATACACAGCTAGTAAAGACAGCCTAGTCACATGTTATCTGACCCATAAACTTTAGCATGAATTGCAAAAAGCAATTCAGTTCATTAATTACATCCTGACCTTTTATATAATACACGTGATTAAATCGACATATCAGTTTAAAAATATTTTCTACAACCAGAAAACCCATCAGAGAGTTAAAGACGTAAGGTTGTGAAACTTAGTGGAGAAAATGACTAAGAAATCCTAACTGTAGATTTATACTTATAACAAGAAAGTGACATTGCTTAACATTTTTGTTAAACATTATGCAAAAGTACTCAACACAAAAACATTCGAAACTGAAAATCGTACTTAGAAAACAAACATCACAAATAAGCGACCAAGTGAATAAAATAGAATAGATATAACAGATGTATGACGACTAATTAATCATTCATGAACATTGAATTAACAAAGGTACATTAAGGAAGTCAAGTATTTAACAACATTCTTAGTTCCTGTGTACTTTCATGTTCCCACATCTCTCCCCTTGATCCTTTATCAAACAATCTGTCAGTAACTTAGAGAAAAACCACCTAATTAATATAAGATTCTTTTGGTTTGTATTCTGCTCACGTTTTACAGGAGCTGTGTCCGAAACAATTGCACTCATGTTTCAATTTGTAACTTCATTCACATAAATTAAACTGACCACATCTCGCACTACAGTGACGGATAGACCGTCAATTTATGTCGAATCTTGCTTTTTATAACTGATATTATGGTCAATAACATCAGTTACAACCATCAAAAGTAATTGGTTAGAAATACTGGGAGAAAGAAACACTAACACTACCTAAACAATATTAGTGTTAAACTTCTCGCCCTGTTAAATAAATAAAATTTAGTGTGGGTTTCATTGCTGATATTGAACCAAAGATAAAGAGGACAAACTAGTTAGTGAAACTATAAAACTCTATCGAATGGAGTGGCTGAAATGTTTGATGCATACCCAACCACCAGTGTGTTGTGTTGGATAGCATAAGATCACATCACAATAAATCTGAAGGTGAGACCAAGATATGGGATCAGTTAAGTAAATCATCAACCTTTGAACCAAACAGTACAGCTAAACTCTGGAATCATTGGTTAAGAACTAAAAGCTTAAAATCAGTCACAATAGGCGCAGGTGCAGTTAATTTCAATCTTATTTTAAACACTGAACGTTATATTGTTCTATGCCTGTCACCATACGAAAGCATTCAATTGCTTTCCCCAACGTTGATTCGATCTGGATATGTTCACCAGAATGAGGGTAACTTGAAGTGGTATTCACTTGCTCCAAGTCCCATTTCGTTTGTTTCCCACAAATTAACCGTAAGATAGACACGATTTACTAATGGGCTAAATCTCTATAACTTTGATCTGATTGGCCTAATTAAAAATATGAATTCCCCAGGTCTTTAAAAAGTAAGACTTATCAAAACGCAGAGGTGAGAAGTTACCGGAAAATGTTTGCAGCTATATATTTAGTTTTCTACAAACTCAGCCATCATTTCGAGAGCTATAACTAACAAATCTAAAAGCTCTTAAGAAAGAGATATTTTAAGTCTACATTCATAAGCACTGACCACCGTGGCATATATTTCACTTGTTCTACTTCGAGAGTCAATATTCTACAAGACAAATGCCTGAATGTCGTAGGGAAAAATTGATACGATCATCAACTCTAAATGGATTACTTTGGTATTCCTTTACAACATGATGGAAAGCTATTTATTACGAAGGCTTCTTATTCAAATCGCATAGTGATTACAATCCAGATTAGCAC